TACAGGCACGTGCCATTATATCCAGACTCAGTGGCTGCTCACTGCACCTGGGGGTGGGGCAGGTGAGGCATGTGCTGAGGGGTATCAAACTCAGGTCCATGTGCTTGCTTAAGCAGGTGTTTAGTCCACTGATCTATCTCACCAGCCCTAAGCTTTATTTTTGTTAATGGAAATTGGACCCCTGATGTCACATATGCTAGATAAGCATACTAACATTAAGTTACACTCCTAACCCTCTTTACTTTACTTTGATAATTTCACACAGGGCCTAGCAAATTTGTGATTTTGTTGCCATAGCCACCCGGGTAACTGAGATTAAAAACATGTGCCACTATGTCAAGATAGGATTCTCAAATGTGGTACCAAAAATAATAATAGCAGACAGAGACTAGAATTTTAGAGTTAGGCAATCTGGATTAACAAAAATAGAATGACTTCTTTAGGACATGGTCTATTTTGTACTAGAGATACATTTAACATTGAATAGATGTTTTTGCACTTTATGGTGCTATTGAATCCTTAAAAGTCTGCTATTTAGCAGGTATGTTAAAATAATATATCTGGAAAGTATGATAATGAGTAGTAATTGGACTAGATGAAGGTATGAAAATGGTGCCATAATATCAAACTGTTAAATGGGACTAAAATGATAGAAGAATCAAAGTAAGTGAGAATTTAGGATAGATTATCAGGTTTTGAAAAGCTACAGATCAAATATTAAAAACAACTTCATTATGGCATTGTGTAAACAAAACAATATTGACCAATTTTTTTATATTTTGAGTATTTTTCTCAAGTTAATATAGGTATATAATAATCACTATACCATATCTATACACACAAGCTCCTTTGTACATTTTCTCTTTCAAATGTCACTTTAGTTCTTTTTTTTTCCATAATTTTATTGAGAAACAAATAGCAATGAGACAGTTTCACACCAAATTGATAGGACAGTTTCAATAATTAACACATTGCATACATTCTTCCTAGTGGTTAATTGCTATACAAGATGCGGACATGATATCCTATCTACAAACACCACTAGAACAAATCACTCTATTCATTAAGAGAATGTAACTATATATCTATCCTAAACATTTTGAATACACAGACACAAAATGGATATCCATCTGTATCCCCTTTTCTTGTTAAGTTCCATTATATGACTATTATAGGTGCGTTAACTCAGCAAAATATTCTAAAAGAGTTCAGCAGGCCATAATAATATTGGGTCTTCTGCTTCACTGGCAATGTCAGAAATTGTTGACCTGAGTCCCCTACAGCTCAACATAACACCACGGCTTTACTTCTTGTACTTCGTTTTTATATTTCTCTGATGGATGATTAAGACCAAGGTAAAGCAGGACCTATGCAACAAGAGTTGTAGCTTTTGGCTCTGATAAAGTCAGTGAAATCCACTCAGGATTTATCCTGAGATCCTATAGATCTCAGATTGTATAACCTTTGTCAGTGTCAGCCATGTGGATGAGTCATGGCCATTGTTTGACCAATGTGCTTTCTGTGAAAGCCTGAGAGAATGTTTTCTCTCCATGTGACTCTCCTTAAGCACACTCTACATCATCGATCACTTTCCTCTTTGATCCCATAATCTCCTTGATCAGAAAATTTGGGACACTACTGAGTTACATGACATTACAGTACAAGTTCTTATATGTCCTGTGTCTTAATTGGACTTTGGAAGGCTTGGGCCAAAATGTTGGCTTTCCTTGCAGCCCTCCTTTTTCTCTAATGTTGTTCTGCAAACTTAGGTTGTTAATCCTCCAGAAGACAAACTTACTGTTATTACCATACGACCTAGGTTATTAAACTTAACATCACTGTCTGTCTGAATATCAAATACCTTAGGCATAACATGGAACAGGTATTTTTCATCAAGTACTGCTATGTTGAACTTTAAATCCCTACAGAACATGATGAAAAAACATTTAAAAATTAGAATATATTTTTAAAAATAGGCATACAGAATTATATAATTCTTATGTTTATACATATGTCAAAAAATCTAACCATATACAACCTTGAAGCAGGACAGTCCCACAACATTCCTTTTCTTGTCTCTGGCCTTCATTCACCACCCCCTTCTTTTAGAACAATCATCTATCTGAGAGAGAGCACAGCAGCAACTGGCATGTTATGACAAGCAGCCTGTATTCAGAAGACCAGAATGACAGGCACTCCAACCATGAACCTACTATTACAGATTACCATCTTCAGTGCAGTTGCTTAGTTCACATGTATCAATATATATCGTTAGTCAGGTTGAGAATCTTTCAATTAACTGCTACATTCAAAAATTTTCTGGAGATTCTTAGGATTATTGCCTTGCCCATCTTCTACGTATAACTGTATGGCTTGTCACTGTCATGTTTCCTAGCTCTTCTCCTTTCCCTCTCTTAATAAGTTAGTCTTCAAGTTCCTGCTTTCCTTTTACCTTTATTATACCTTTCTATTTGTATTTCTTCCTTTGAGTTCTTATCCTAGGGAAACTATACGATATTTACACATGTGTGTCCAGTTTATTTCACTTTTGACTATATCTTCAAGTGGCATCCACTTCAATAGAAAGGCTACAAGTGTATCATTCTTTGTAGATGGGTAATTCTCCATTGTGTAAAAGTACCACATTTTTTCAACCATTCCTCAGGTGATAGGCATCTTGGTTGTTTACAAGATTTGGCTGTTACAAATTGTGCTGCTATAAACAGAGGCACACATATATCCCTATGATATGATGTTTTCAGATCCTCTAACTTATGAGATCCTGATCAGTCACAGATTGCAGTTATTCTAAAACTTTAAGATACACAAGATTTCTTCCTCTTGTCTCTTAAAACTGTTCTGAGAAAACAAATGGGATTGCTGTATCCTGACAGATTGCCACCAGGTGAACATCTTCTTCTTTGTTTTCCCTGAACTTTGTCCTCAGAGATCTATCATGAATCATACAGCACAGGTGAAGCAATGTAATTGTTTTGAAAATTTACTTAAAGCACTGCTGAGAAAAATGTTCATTCATTTATACAATGTTATATTCAGTTATAGTAAAGGAACATAATTATGATGACTCTGAAATCAAGATGAATGGAAGCTAAAGTAATCTGGAAATCAGAAGTGGGTAGCAGGTGGGTGTCAAGGGACCAGAGGGCATGAACTGTACTCTAAAATCCAAGAAACCTTGGGTGAATCGATTTACAGGAAGTGTTTCTATCACTGACTCATATCAATGTATGTAGACCTATTCTCTGACTGACTGGAATATGCTCACTGCATCTTTGCAGCTCAAAGTTGACCACATCATCTGAAAGCTCCATTTCAGATCCAGTGATTCAAAATCTACAGTGTAATGAATTTCTCAAATGGTTTGCCTGCACAATAAAGTGGTGGGTACTGCTCCCTACCTCGCAACAGCCCATTTATCAGTGCATTAATGCCATATCAGTGGGTTAGTATGCTTGATGAAATTAGATTCCAGATGTTCCAACAACTTCCCTTAAGTAACTAAGCCTTCAAAACAACCTTTTGGGGGTATTTTGATTCATAAGCATAAAATTATTTTCTTTCTATCTATCATCTATCTATCTGTCATCTATCTATCTATTTATCATCTTTTATCTATCATCTATCTATCTGTCTGTCTGTCTGTCTGTCTGTCTGTCTGTCTGTCTGTCTATTATCTATCTATGTGGCAGTAAGGGTAGAAAGCCTAGGTGATGGGTGGAGCACATTTCTGGGTGTGTCTGGGAGGATCATGGAGGAGTGAGAATGGGATGTTTGTCTGGCCACTTTCTCTCTGGAAGTTTACCTGCCTTCTTCCTGGCTACCATGAACTAAGTTATTTTTCTGTAATGATTTTTCTGCCTTGGAACCAGCTGACCTTGCAATCTTCTAAAGTCATGAATAACATTTATGTTATCTTCCTTTCACTCTGTCCATCAACAGGAAAGCTGACTAGTAGAATCTATCCATACATCCTCACAAAGTAGTATCAGGAGTATAAAGGAGCATTCTTTACTAAAAATTTTACATCCAAACTACCTTATTCCTCAAAAGCTAAAGTAGCGCAGTGTGAATAACTATCACATTTCTGAATTTGCATTCACGTAATTTATTCTTTTATGTTAGTTTTTTTTTGCCTAGTTTTAGACTTAGAGAAAAGTGGCAAATATGGTAGAGACTTCTCATACATATGATCTTCACTTAGTTTTCCTAGTGTTATCATAGTATAATTATCAAAACCAGGTTAATATTTTTGTCATCCATTTTACAGACATTATTTGAATTTTTCCAGTTGTCTCCCTCATAATATTTTCACTTTTCGAAAGAAGCCCAGTTACAGTTGCTGGGTTTCGATCCTCAGCGTGCTGTGCCCACCCCACCCCTGGGGCATGCTGAGATGGCGATTGAGACATGGTGTGGCGGCACACGCCTATAATGCCAGCTCTTGGGAATCTGAACACAGGTGGATCACTGTGAGTCTGATCTGCATAGTGAGACCCTGTAGACCCTGTACTGAAATACAAAAATAAAAGAAGTCCACTTAAACTCTCTGATGATTGTTTCTCCCTTCCTCCCTCTCCTTTCTCTTTTCCCTCCATTCTTCCTTCCTTCCTTCTTTCCTTCCTTCCTTCTTTCTTTCCTATTTTCACTTGTTCTTATCATTGCGATTCAAACCCAGGACCTTAACACTGAGAAGTACATTTGCAACTTTAAAAAATGTTCGAGATATGGTTGCACTAAGTGACTAAGTTGCCAAGGCTGAGTTCCAACTTATGATTCTCTTTCTTCAACTGCTTGATGGCATAGGCCACTACACCCAGCTCAGTGATTGTTCTTAGAAATAATTATACAAGCGTACAAGAAATGAGAACATCAGAGAAAGGCAGGATGTTTGTTCACATCAAGAATATCTACGTATTTACTTTTCCATTATGTGCTGAGTTGCATTCCTCCAAAAGATGCTGAAGGTCTAAACCCAAAGCATACTTAACTGGCAGAGGAGATACCATGATTATGAATGTGGTTTCCCAGGGCAAGGCTTATCCATTGCATTCCACATGTACTGACACTGTGATTCCCCCAAATGTGGGAAACTTGACTGCATAATTTGTGCAAGTGTGGGACCTCATTTGTGTTGCAGCACCTTTGCAGATGATCAGATTAACATGAGGACATTAGGGCAGGCCTTAATCCAGCATGGCTAATGTTCTCACAGAAAGGGGAAAATTTGGACTTAGTGACAGACAATACCATGTAAAGATTGGTATTCTGCCACAAAGGAAAGAACTACCAGGAACTAGGAGAGAGGCCAGGAAAAGATCCTTCCCCACATGGCCTTTCTAATATATTGACTTCAGGCTTTTAGCCTGTAGAACACTGTGACAATAGAAATTTCTCATTTAAATATCTTAGTTTGTGCTGCTATGCTGTGGCAGCTCTAGAAAAATCAATCAACTTGCTGAACTTGAGAAGCCATAGAAGCTTGTGCATTTGTGGTGCTGTTACTGTGGCTATGGAAAGGCATCTGGAGAGGTGACTGATCAAGCAGAATCAAGCAATGGATATGATGTGGAAGTAGGTACTGTTATACACTGGCATAGATTATAAGAAAGAATCATAGTGGAAAACTACAAATGTGTGCGTGATGACAGGTAATGTTTTAAAAAGATGAGTCAAGTGCGGGTCATGTGGAGGTAGTCACAGTGTGGGTAAAAACCACTAGGAAAGAATTTGAGTTGAAATTCCCACCACACCTGTCTCTGCTTCTACTTCCCCTTGGTGATATAGGTCCTTAGGAGATCTAGTTTTTATAATATCCCCTCCATGTGTTCCTTATGCTATCCTAGAATACAGAATAACAAAAGTTCCAGATTCTCTTACACATTCAAGATGATGTTAGTATGAAAATTTAAAATATCTGGCACAAATGAAGTATGAATTGAAAGGAAGAATAGGTTCGCAAAGCAAGGACTTAGAATTAGACAGCAAAAGTGTCTGACTCATTAATTCTTAGGGGTGGCTCTTGAAGATTTACAAAGCCTTTTCCAAACTTGAGTTTCTATTATTTTATGATATATCTATTTTAAGGTCCCTGATATTTCTGTATTGTCACACATTGTGTTACTGTTACCAAATATTTTATATTATTTTATCAAGTGGGACATTTGTTGTGAAATGTATGTAGTGTTGGGTCTGAGCATTCCAATGAAACATCAAAACTCTTATGTATATAAAACTCAGTATTGGGTGAGTAAAAGTTATCATTCATATTGTGGTGCTGGCCTGGAATCCCTGCACTGGGGAGGCTAAGGCAAGAGGATTCCTATGAGTCTGAGCTGTGTAATGAAACCCTGTACCAAATAAATAAATAAATAAATAAATAATCTCAATACCAGAATTCCTCTTTTATTATTGACATTATTTTTATTTTTATTTTTATTGATTTTACTGAGAAACAAATAGCAATGACACAGTTTCAAAACCAATTAGTAGGACAGTTTCAATAATTAATACATTGCATATTGTTATCTTCTTAGTGGTTATTCATGGTACAAGATGCTGACATGATGTCCTGTCCAAACACTATTAGTATAAATCTTTCTTCTCATTGAATTAAGAGAAACTAGCTGTATATCTATCCTACTTTGTATATACAGATATAAAATGGTCATTCATTTGTTAGGTTTTGTCACAGAAGGGTAGTCCATTGTCATTTAAATATTGTAGGTGTGTGAATTCAGCAAAATATTCCAATATAGTCCAGTAGCCCATAAGAGTAGTGGGTCATCCACAGGACTTATTGTTATTATTTTGCTTTCCCAAAAATAGTTTGGTAGAAAGAGAAAACTTTGGGAGGGAAAGGTGCAGGATATGCTTCGCTCTCAATGTAGAACTCACTAGATATAACACCAGGGCTATTGAATATATATATTCAGGACTATATATTCAGGACCAGACACAATTATTCAATCTTGTTAATTGTTTCAAAAAAATTAATGAGTGAAAATTTGAGCTTTCTTATTGTTGTATGGGCAAAATTGCGTTGTGCTTAGAACTGTTGTATAAAAATAATCTATGATTTTACTAGAATTGAGCCTACCTTTAAATATTACTGTCATATTCCTGCCACTCTTGGCACCAGAGGACTTCTAAATGCCGGAGGAGTCTCCTAGAAAAGGAAACATATACATCTGCACTTCTGCCTCTTCTGGGTCTAGTGAATCATCTTGAAAATCACAGTTCATCAATGTTAGTTGCTAAACCTTTCTGGCATCTACATAGTACTGTTAGAGTAGTTCTGTAGTTTGATGGAAACTTGTAATCATATTTATTCTTTGGGGATATCTGAAGGCCCTTTAGGCACTAATTTGTATCTATCAGGCCTGAGACTGGTTGACTGCGAGAGCCTGGTTCTTGCCAAATGCTAACAAGTTCAGCTGGAACTGAACCAGTTTGGAGAATGAAGCTAGTATAAGAGCTATGTGATTCTCGAGTTCCACTAGCTACAAAGCTCTTTCAATTTACCTGGCAGTCTGTGTTGAATAAATGGGAAAATGTATCCAAAATTTTTATCTCTGAGTTAAAATTCCCAGAGAAATAGTTCGCTTTCCAGGAATTCTCTCCAAGTTGTAATAAACCACCTGTCTTCTATGAGTATAACCCATAGAAATAGAATATTGGACAACACTATTACTCACATTTCATCTACTTACCCTGAATTCCATATATAGGTAAAGTGGCCATTTAAAAAATAATGCAATCTTAAAATTAAGCAACACTTAAAGTATTAGTGATAGATCCTGAGTTATAGTTAAGGAAGACAAAAAGCTATTTGAAGATGCTTTGAAAAATAAATCAATGGACTGCTAAAAATCTTTTTGTTTTAAGAAATAATTTGAGGGATTGTGTTACTGAATAGCTAGGATGATAATTGGTTTTAAGGACACTCAAATTTTATATAATATAATGAGAGATTAAGGGTCAAACAGAAATTAAAGAAACTTAAGGAGACAGAAACAAAACATTTAGAATTGTCTCATTATCTGTCAGGGATCTGACATACCCTGGATCACAATGACCTGATTGCCAGACATCTGCATTATCTTTTTCTCCTGTTTTTCCAGCTATTGATTTGAGGAGGTACTGAAAATTTCTCACATATCCTTTAGCTATAAATGCAGGTAACCTGGGATCAGCAAATTTGAAATGTCACGGTTCAGAATTGCACTTGATCACAATACTGCATACTGTGGTAGAGTACAAAGGTGATCACTCCCTCCCACCTTTTCCCCTGGCCCTGAGAGACAGACAATAAAACACTTTCTCCTGCCATTCCTTAAGGGAGTAATGATTGTGGTTTCTGTAATTCTGGGCCAAAATATTTTCCTTTAAGGCATCTTTGAACCATCACATTATTGCCCCTGCATTGATTGAAAATTGTCTTTGTATTTTATAGTACAATAGATATATTTCTGAGTGCTATTCTTTGTAAACAAAATTGTAACTGTTTTTTATAGTTCATTTTATTTCTTTTTTTAAGCCTCAAGGATTTCCAATAGCAAAAGATTTAAGTGTGGTGAGTTCTAGACAAGCATTGATTTAAATGCATTTGAGAATCCCCCTCTTTCCTTTTTCTTCTCATCATTGCGACTATGTTCCAGGGTTTGTATACATTTATCATTCTGGGTGGTGATTTGTGGTAACTTGGGCATGGCAGAATTTGGAGAGGTAACATTAGGTCTTAGCACTGTTCATAAGACATACATTGGTGTCTAGTGAGGTGATGTGTGTGGTCCTCTTGACTAACATCAGGCAAGGTGTCTCTTCCACTGTCACTGTGAGTCTTGTCACTGCCATTTGAGCAGATATTTGGCTTTTAGCCCACATGTTCAGTGGTGGCACAGAGCAGCAGTAAGGCCACAAGGCTGATTTAGACCTACAAAGTTCACTTCTGACAACATTTAATGGCTCTGTGGACCAACTCCCTTCTGATCTCAGCTAACAAAACTTTGCCTCTGGGTTTTATTATGCTCTCTACACCTCTCTGAGTTGTACCATCTCAATCACTCTTACAGGGTAATGGCAGCCTCGTATCTTGTATGTCATGCAGTCTCAAGGCATGATGGCGTGGAGGTTATATGACTATATGATTGAAAGGAAGTACAGAAAGGAATAAAATATATGGAGGATTCCAAGTACATATAAGTAAATGTTTAAGAAGTTCACCCCAGAGAGGCATTTGCCCAAGTGGACAGAAGTAGTCTTCAGTTGCTATAGGTAAAAGTCTTATTACCCAAAATAAAAATAAATACAATAGACTAAATGGAAAGATACAGGAAATATCATGTGGAGGCTAGTTCTGACATGGAACTTGAGACAGACTTGAAGGGGATGGTCAAGCACATGTAAGTAATGGGGAGGGCACTTTGCACTGGGTTAAAAATAGGTAAAGAGGAAGACTGCAAACTGAGATAGAGGGTTTGTTTTGCTTTTAGATATGCCACATAAGACACATACATGCTTTATATCTTTATATACACATATGTATCATAAATAGTTACACGTCCTTTTTGCTGCTTCCCCTGGAATTTCTGTTTTTTACGTTTCATATCTGTTTACTACTGATTTACAGGGAAACTATTGATTTTATATGTATGGAGATTAATGAATTATAGCTCAACTGTTTTTGTTTCCAACAGTAATTTATTGAGATTTCTGATCAATTAAGTAAATCAAATCTGTCTACTTTCTTAATTTATGTAATGATAGGTTATGGCCCTGGTATGAATTGCTGAATTATTATGGTGGTCATTCAATATGACTGAAGCCCTTTAAACAATAGCTTATCTTCCCAGAGATCACCTCCCCCCTTCTTCTCCAACTCAGCCCAGGGTGCAGTTTCCTTTCACCTTTCCTGCCACCCCAGTCAGCTCCTCAGGTGTATCTATACATCCTCTCAAACCCCACCCCTGACAAAAGGTCATAAAAGCCTCCGTCTCCCTTTGTTCCAATCCAGAGAATTCCTTATCTTCCCAAATTCTCTCAGTGTCCTCCAAGATAATGAAGCCCCTTTCCCATTTTCCTTCTGCCTGTTTCTCTGCTGTGACACCGTCAAAACTTATCATTTTTGGTGCTGTGACCTGGA